AGAGAAAATATTTTGAAAAGGGAATATTCACAAGCAATAGAAACTTCAGCTTTAGAGGACTGATCATAAAGGGTGATTTAAAAGAGAAAATAAATGTGTAAGATCCAAAGACCCAGCTCTGGACTTTGTGAAGAGAGGAGAGGCAAAGGGGTAGGTCCGGACCACTTCAATTATGGATTATCAGTGGCAATCTGTTTCCTTCTCTTTCTCAATGCCTTTCTTCTTTATAAACATGGTGGCAAGAGGAAAATGTATGAGGTTGTAATGGAGGAAAATACAGTTATAACAATGAATATAAATATGATGAATTCACCCACAAAATAGAGAAAAGCAAGTAGACTGTATTAGAAAGCAGAATCTAACAATATTTTACTTACAAGAAACACACTTGGAACAAAGATCCATATAATATTGAAATGAAGAGAGGGAGCAGAGTTTATTATGCCTCAGGTGAATCCTGGGGTGGTGATCTAAGGGTGGTTATCATGCTTCCACATGAGGCAGGAACATGGTTAAAAGAGATGTGATAACTCTGAAAATGACTGAATGTAAGTAGGAAGGAATAGATATATTTCTCAACTGTGTGTGGCACCTTTCCAAAAACTCACCACATGGTAGGGCTTAAAAACCTCACAAATATAAGAAAGCAGGAATGTTAACGCATAATGACCTCAACTTGATAAACATTATCATGGGCCTTTGAAGATATTATTCAAACTTAGATGCATCTTTGAAGTTCTCCTCACAACATGTGATTACATGACGAGCTTTCTGGGTTGGGGGCTTGGTAAAAGATCTACTCCCTTACACTTGAATACTTCACTAGATCTGTAATCTAATTAATATGGATGTTTTCTCCAATGGTGCAGACCACAGCCTTCCTCTGTCTCATATACTTCATGATTCCTGTCTATATTATGATACTTCAATGGATCCGTAATCACATTAGTGTAAAAATTCCTTCCAATGGTGTAGATCATAATTCATCTATGCTTTCTTACCCTTGTGCATTTCCTTCCATAAATCCTCCATAGAAGATCCGCCCAATGTGCTAGAAATCTTCCTCTAGGTCTCTGAACATTCAGCATTCAGGCCATGGTTATTTCCTACTCTCTCTACATGTCTGGACCACCTCCCTTTTATATTGTACATTTTTTGTGTGAGATCTTTTTCACTTCTAGGAAACAAATTGTCATTGTCAAAATGCTTCAGTCAATTAATGCCCATCGTATGTCCCCACACTTACCTTTGATTCATCAGATAGCATGGTGTGTCATAATTTGTGAATTTATAGCATCATGAGGTTAAGAAAAAAACTGTTCCTCTAATTTGTTTATGGTATCACTCTTTATGTCTAAGTCATGTAACCATTTTGAAGCTTATCTTGGTACATGGTTTCCTTGCTTCTGTCAAACTGCTTTCTAGTTCTCTCAGAAGTTTTTGTTGAATAGTGCGTTTTTACCCCAATAGCTGGGATCTTTGGATTTATCAAACACTAGGCTACTGTGCTCATTTGCTTCTTTATCATGTGTTTAATTATTCTGCTGGTTGACCTCTCAACTTCTTAACCAGTACCAAGTCATTTTAATGAGTCCTGCCTTGTAGTTTAGTTTGGGATTTGGTATTGCTAGGCTCCTTTTCTTCCCACTTTTTAAATTTTTTTCTCTTGAGAAACTTGACATTTTATTTCTTATTTTTTTTTGGTCTAGGCAATGGGGTTAAGTGACTTGCCCAGGGTCACTTGTGTTAGTGTAAGTGTTATGTGTCTGAGACTGGATTTGAACTCAGGTCCTCCTGAATCCAGGGCTGGTGCTCTATTCACTGCCCCATCTAGCTGCCCCCATTTTATTTCTTCAGACTAACTTTTTATTAGTTTTTCTAGCTTGATAAAGTAATTCAAGTAGTGCTGTCATTTAAAAAATATTGGCTTGACTTAGCTATGAGTAACCAATATTTCCCCACTTCTTTTTTGAGGTCAGGCTAAGTTATTTATTTCTTATTCTGTCAATCTGGGCATTTTATATTTTTTAAAAATCATCTATTTCATTTCAGTTATCAATTTTGTTGGCATATAATTGGGCAAAATTTTCTAAAAATTTCTTTTATTTTTCTTCATTTCTTTTGCTGGTAAGTTTTTCTTGATTGTAAGACTATATATTTTGCTTTTTAGAATATCATGTTACGAGCTCTCTCCTCCATTCTTTCTTGCTGGCTTTTTGTAATTTTATTTTATTTATTTTTTGCCTAGGAGCTCTGGATTTTGGCTATAATGTTCCTGGAAGTTTTGATTTTGGGATTTGGGGAGATGAATAGTGAATTCTTCATATTTTCACATTGATCTTATTTTCTACCATGTCTGGGAAGTTTTCTATTGTGATTTTTTTTTTTTTTGAAATTTTGATTATAGGATCTTTCTTTGGTCATGGCTTTCAAGTAGTCCAGGGATTTTAAAATTGTCTCTTCTTTATTTGTTTTCCCTGTTAGTTGTTTCAGATATTTGATACCTTACATTATTTTCTATTTTTTTCCATCTTTTGACTTTGCATCTGGTTTCCCGATCTCCATGATAACTCTTTTTCTTTTTTAAATTTTTATCTAGCTTTTTCATGGGATTCTTTTTTTTATTTACTTATTCATTCTGTCTTACTTTTCTAACTTCAGATTTTGTGTTAGGGCCAGGATCTGGGTACTTCTATAGGGAATGTCTGGGCTTTGATTAGTCCTGTTTTATATTTTGTATCTGAGTCTTTCTGTTGCTTTCTCTGGGTCTTGTATGCTTTGTTCTTCAAGGACATAAAGACCCGCAGTCTTTCAAATGAGATATTTGTAAATCAATTTACTTTACAAATATTGTCTGACATATAGTAGATGCCTAACAAATACTTGTTTCCCTTCCTCCCTTTCCCTTTCTTTGTACCTAAAGCTGACTGATCTTGCTGCCTCTTTGGATTGAGCTTAGCAAACATCTGACCTATGTTTGGGTCTGAGCATCACAGCTGTGGACCTGCCCCTGGTTGGACTGCTGCTGGACCCAACTACCATCAGCTAGCTGAAAGACTTTGCAAGTTTAGTTACAGAATTGTGGACTCCCCCTTGATCTTAGCTACCTTCCCTGCTTATTCTTCTTCAGACTTTAGATTGGGCTGGGAAATGGAACTCAGAGGCTGCTCTGCTGCCAGAGTTAAAGGCATACTACTGCTGCTTGCTTCTTTTCCTGCTCCTTGCTTAGTGCACAGCCTCAGGCTTGCCACCCCTAGGGACAGGTACCATCCTCAATCTATATTGGTCCAGCTTTGGATTATGAGCAAGACCCATTAACTCCCAAAGTAGCCACTTCCAAGAAATTCGTCTCTCATGATCACTGTTTAGTCACCTGTGTTCAGGGAAAGAAACAAGCGGAAGAAACAGGCAAGGATTCAAAGACTAAGCTCAGACTTGTGTAGACAACACGTGTGGCCACTGCTGTGTGTAAGCAGCCACTGTAGATGCTTTAGTGGAAAGGAGTTCCTTCCCCCTTTATAGAAAGTCCAAAAGAGAGGTTTGCAAAGTCCCCACCAGCTCAACCAACAGACGGTGAGAGGGGCCAAGAGACAGTTGGTCCTTTGAAAGTCTACTGAATGGGCTGCTTTTCCTAGCTCACCCTCCAATCTCTTTGATGCAATCTACCTTCTCTCTTCTAACCCACTGGAATCAAAGAACCAATAAAGGCATTGTGTGGTCATCCCAAACTGCAAGTCCTTCACTCTTCATTGCTAAGTCACATATGCCACCAGGAGTATCCCAGGAGCTCTGTTCAATCTGACCTGTGTTCCATTGGATAGCCCCTAAAGACCCAGTCTTACACATGGTGGTTTGGGCGTGTTCCAATCAAACTCCTTCTACTTAAGGGCCATGGGGAGACCCCAAACAGCCAAACGAACAATTTCCTGACAATTAGACCTGTTCAAAACTGATGGACTGTCTTGGGAGTTAGCGAGTTTGCTAGAGGTAGAGGTTCCCAAATAAAATCTGAATAGCTACTTTATTTTTTTTAGGCAATTGGGGTCAAGTGACTTGCCTAGGGCCACACAGCTAGTGAATAGCTACTTTTAAAGGAAGTTTGTAAAGTGGTTTTTTATTCAGGTATAGTTTGGACAAGAGCATAGAAATCTCTTCTCCAGGATTCTGTACCTCGTGTTGGATGGGGGTGTGGTGCATTGGTGGAGGCAGGGTGTGTGCTCATCCTGAGGGAATCAAGATTTCACTTAAGTCTTGAAATAGGACACCAAATATACTCATGGAGCAGTTTCTCCTCTTCACCATGGAGAAGAAAAAGGAATGTGTGCAAAAGAAGATGAAATCCAGTTTCCAATCCATGAAACTACAGTCCTTCACAACATTTAAAAGTGTCATGGTCTTCTAAGCAGAATCCCCATTTCTGTCGCTGTTTGCTGTGTGATCATGAGGTACGGTACAATAAAAACAAATGGGATAAAAACCAAAAAACAAAACACCTCCCCCGCCCCAAAATACAACAACTCCCAGTATCTGGAATCAGAGAGCCTTATTTCTATTCTCTAGTTCTTGGTTTTCTCATCTATAAATTGAGGCAATTGGATTACATGACCCTTCAGTCTTTAGTCTTAATTTTTTTATCATTCATCCTCTCTAAGCATTCACCCCCATCCCCCACAGAAAAAAACCCCCAAAATAAAACTAAAATGTAAGACTTTTTAAGTTAACTTTGCTGCTACAAAAACAACTCTAGCAATCACTGCAACAACCAACAATGGACAGATGAAGAAGAAAGGAAGGAAAAATGGGACCAGGAAAAACATCCATCCAAGCCCAGGGAAGGGAAAGCATAGCACAGTAAACCGGATACTTCTTCCTTCAAAGAACTGGAACACCAGTGGTGGTCTGTTGCTGTAGTAACCGTCTCCTAGCGACAGGGCCAACTTTCGTCTTCTTGTGGTAAACTTAGGCTCAGCGGTGGCTGAAGGTCCAGAAACATCTAGGAACGCGAGCTTTACCGCAGCCAGGGAGGGTTCAGCTGCTGCAGGGAGAGAGTGAAGGAAGAGGAGGAGGAGGGAAGAAGGAGGCAGCGATGATGAATAACAGGGAGGTGCCCAAAGTGCAGTCTCTGTGCTCCATCCACGACTTCAAGGACCTTAAGCCTTGGTAAGCAAAGGAACCTTTAGGCTCGTGGTGAGAAAGGAGGATGCCAGGGGCATCCAGGTGGTGCAGTGGATAGAGCTGTGGCCCTGGAGTCAGGAGGACCTGAGCTCAAGTCCGGCCTCAGACACTTGACACTTAACTAGCTGTGTGACCCTGGACAAGTCACTTAACCTCATTGCCTCACCCCCCCCCCAAAAAAAATGAGGATGCCACCGAGGAGGGTTCATGCTGTGGGACACGGCTTGAGAGTGTCGAGGACTGGGGAGAGAGAGGGATGGGACGCTCCCTGGCTGGAGATTCAGGAGACAGACTTCTCTGCCTGTCACCCTCCTCAGTGTTATGATAATGCTACCATTAACATTAAGCTGGGTTCAAATAAAAATATCTCCAGTGGTGCAAGTCACTTAATCTCCCTTGGTCTCCATTTCCTCATCTATTAAAATGATCTGCATCTACGACTCTGTGATCCAATTGTGGAAAGGACATTGGACTTGGAGCTGTAAGGCTTGGTTTTATTTGTTCGTTTGTTTTGGCAGTGGGGTTAAGTGACTTGCCCAGGGTCATACAACTAGTGTCAAGTGTCTAAGGCTGGATTTGAACTCAGGTCCTCCTGACTCCAGGGCCGATGCTCTTATCCATCGCTCCCCCAGGCGCTGCTGTAAGGCTCGGTTTCAATAATAGCTCGAATTTATTTAGCGCCTTAAGGTTTGCCAAGTGCTTTATCAATATCTTCTCATTTTAGCCTAACAACAACCTATCCTTCCACTCCGCACCCATACTACCCTGGAGCAAGTAACTTATTATTATTATAAATAATCGACTTAATAATAATAATAATAATAATGTCATTATTAATAGTCGATGCTTTTGGAAATAATAGTAACAGTAACAATCGCAGTAATAACTGATATTTCTACAGCACTTTTATCTGAATCCATGTAGTCAACCTGTAACTGCTGGAAGCAGTCATCCAACCTTAGATTGCAAAGCGCCTGAGAAGAGCCACCTATAGTCTCTCATTTATAGCCAACTCTAAAGAGGAAGTCCCCATTTCACTTGTTCTTCCTATTTTTCTGAGTTGTTGTGAGGAAAATATATATATGGAAAACTATAAATTTATAATTTTTATAATTGCAACTGCAGTGTTTTTTAAAGTTGGGGCAGAACTTACTCTAAGGATATGTTTACATAGATAAGATCTGAAATTCTTGTTTCCAAGGGAGATGCATTTTCCACTTTGGGGAGGACTGGGGCTTAATCAGCCATGCTTATCTCCAATAGGGATATTGGGCTAGAATGATATCTCTCAAACATATCAGATATGTGCATTCTAGGAGTACAAAGTTCTTTTAGGAGTCTAGGATAAATGCCCTCAAAGGGATGATAACAGCTAGTTTATTCTTGGTCAACTTAATTCCCACCCAAAGTTCCTTAGACTAAACACAACAGATAGGGAACAAACTTATTTATCCAAGCAAGCAATAAAGCAAAAATCATGGAAGTTATAAAGATTAGGATACATAATAAAACATCCAAGAGTAAAAGGTCTCTGGTTCAGAAACAAAATAAAATTCCAACTCAGTGAAGTGAATAATCTCACCAAAGAAGTCGGCTTTGGGAGTGCAGGTCCTGGGAATCAAAGGGTATAGTGTAGAGGAAGGTTGTTGGTTTTTCTTTCTCATACATACACATTTTTTTTCTTTTTTTCAAATTTTAAAAAATTTATTTATTTTTAGTTTTCAACATTCACTTCCACAGGATTTTGAGTTCCAAATTTTCTCCCCATCTCATCTCTCCTCCCACCCCAAGATGGCATGCATTCTGAATACCCCGTCCCCTAATCTGCCCTCCCTTCTATCTCTCCCCCCCCTTCTCTTATCCCCTTCCCCTTTTATTTTCCTGTAGGGCAGGATAGATTTCTATACTTCATTTCCTGTATTTCTTATTTCCCAGTTACATATAATACACATATTATACATATATATGAATACTTGTGCTATTAATGTATATATACATACGCAGATACATGTTGTTGATATGTGTGCAATGCACATATATGAGTGTACAATATGTGTGTACACACATATAGGTATACCTACATACACACATATATTAATAGCATTAAGGGGAACCTGGAAGGTAGAATTTTAGATAAGACTTGAAGTAATCCAGGGAGGCTAGGAGGTGGAGGAGAGCATTATAGCAATGAGAGACAGCCATTAAAAATGCATGGAGTCGAGAGATGGAGTGTGATTGTTGAGAAACAGCAAAGAGGCCAGTATCACTAGATCATAGAGTACATAGAGGGGACAAAGGTATAAGGAGACTGGAAGGGACCAGGTTACAAAGAGTTTTAAAAGTCAAAGTATTCTTGGTCAGATCTGAGCTTTAGGAAGATTACTTTATACATATACATACATACATTCATATTCATATCCATGTGATATATGTATGTATATGTATGTGTGTATGTATATATATACATATACATATATACATACATACATACATATATAATATGGTTTTTTGGGTTGGGTTTTTTTTTTTAGTCATTTCAGTTGCATCTGACTCTTCATGACCCCATTTGGGGTTTTCTTGGCAAAGGTACTGGAGTGGTTTACCATTTCCTTCTCTAGCTCATTTTACAGATGAGAAAACTGAGGCCATCAGGGTTAAGTGACTTGCCCAGGGTGACACAGCTAGTAAATGTCTGAGGCTGGATTTGAACTCATGAAGATGAGTCTTCCTGATTCCAAGCCCAGTGCTCTATCCACTGCGCCACCTAACTGCCCACACATACATAGACATATATATACATATATAGTTATATATGCATATGTGTGTATTGTATGTATATAGTTATTTGAATGTTGTCTCCTTCGTTAGAATGTGATCTCCTCGAGGCCAGAGACTATTTTTTAACCTTTATTTGTATCCCTAGATCCTGTCATAGTACATGGCACACAACAGGTGCTTAATAAACGCTTATTGACTTGTTAACTTTACACTCTTCTTTTTTTTACATTAATTTATTTTTAGTTTTCAACATTGACTTCCATAAACTTTTGAGTTTTAAATTTTCTCCCCCTCCCTCCCCGTCTCCCTTCCCAAGATGGCATGCAATCCGATATAGGCTCTGCATATACATTCCTATTAAACATATTTTCCCATTAGTCATATTGGAAAGAAGCAGACTCTTCTAATTGCTTAAATGTATTTCCCTTTCTAGGTTCCTCTTGACCCCTATGTTTACATTTCTTACTTTCTACTAAGTGCTGGTGTTTGCATCGAGATTGCTTAGAAGTTCTCTATTTGTGTTCCAATCCGAGGTGGATTTCACAGTCTCTTAGAGACACAGGACTAGCTCTTATTTATCTAAACACATCCCTGCCAACACAGGCCTCTTTGACTCCCTGTGGCCAGAGTTCAAACTCATTACAATTACAAGGATTCCGATTCCCTTTTTTAATGGTTGGGGGGTAGGAAAAACTTAGAGGGAGGAGGGGAGCTATCGATAGTACTGCCAACTGTCCCCCCCCCTAAAAAAACCCAACATACCACTATTTTTTTTTAGAAAGGCACAGAAGAGAACAACGCTTGGAAATTCAGAAGGAAACACAATCACAACAGCTTTGAAAGCAACATGTTGAATTTATTATATACACTAAAAAAAGCAAACTTACTAGGGAGTCATGGTTGCAATATAACCCTCATTTTCTAGTCTACTTCATACACATAAATGTTCTCTGTTTTTGGAGTTCATTAAATTCAGAATAAAAAAATTAATGTAAACAAGGTAAATAAGAAGGAATTGAATTTGGTCACAGATACCCAATTCTTCAGTTTCTTCAGCAAAATGAGAGAGAGACGTAGTCAGATCACTCATGGCAGGGGCTTAGAGAATGTCAACTTTAATCGTCTCTGCATCATCACTGCCCTTTCAATCTTGGTCTAACAGCTGGTGTATGTTGTGTTCTTGGGCCCTGAAGGTTTAAGACATCTGGCCTAGTTCCATACCACTTCCACCTGTCTCTGTCTTTGCCATCTCTGTCTATGCCAACCCAATTCGGACAGCCTGCATCCATGATTGTTGCACAGTCTAGATCTGAATGCTGTTTCTTTCTCTGTCTCTCATTCCCCAATCCTGCACCTGTGCTTTCTGGCTAACACTGTCTCTGTCTCCTTCTGCACCATCATAAGATTCTTATTTCCTTTTTTAAACTGCTCATGCTAGAAATGCTTCCTCCCAATCGGAATACTACTAACTGAGTGACATCGACAAGTGGCCCGCTCATGCATATCTTTCTGAGAGGCTGCAAGGCTATAAGCCAAGACTAAAGTGAAGGGAGAGTTGGTGTGTGACTTTTTGTTTGCAAACGGTGTATACTCAGTGCAGCCTTTGAGGTTGAGATGTACAGGGATTGATTCTCTGCTGCTTGTGCTAATTTTGGCCTCACAAATAACAACAAGAAAACCCAGATTCTCTACCAGCCAGCGTCACATCATACATACATGGAACCATAGGTTACAGCAAATGGAGAAATATTGAGTGCTATGGATAAGGTCACTTACCTTCGCAGTATACTTTCAAGGGATGTGCCCATTGATAATGAAGTTGATGTGCGCATTGCCAGAACTAGCTCAGTGTTTGGAAGGCTCTGAAGGAAAGCGTGGGGGAGAAGAGGTATTAGACTGACCACCAAACTGAAGGTCTACGGAGCCATTGTTGTACGCCTGTGAAACCTGGGCAGTCTACCAGCGCCATGCCAGGAAACTGAATCGCTTCCATTTGAATTGTCTTAGGAAGATTCTGAAGATCAGCTGGCAGGATCAGATACAGACACTGAGGTCCTTTCTCCAGCTGAATTGCCGGGCCTTCAAACTCTACTGCAGAGAGCGCACCTCCAATGGGCTGGCCATGTTGTTCAAATGCCAAATGTATGTTTGCCTAAAAGACTATTTTAGAGAGAACTCACGGAGGGTGAGAGCTCACACAGGTCAGAAGGGGTACAGGGACACTCTCAAGGTCTCTCTGAAGAACTTTGGAATCGATTGTGAGACATGGGAGACATTGGCACAGGACTGCCCAGCACAACGTGCCTACATCAGAGAAGGCGCTGTGCTCTATGAGCAAAGCAGAATTGCCGTAGCTCAAAAGACATGTGACATGTGCACATTTAGAGCAGTCTCCACTCCAAATGTTAACATGGACTTCTTTTATTAACTTATTTTAATTTATCAGCAATCACTTCCGTAAGCTTTTGAGTTTTAAATGTTTCTCCCCGCCCTCCCCGCCTCCCTCTAGCGTGGATTTTTTGTGCCTGACGTGTGGGAGAGCCTTCTGAGCTCTGATCAGCCACAGTCAACACAGTGTACCTTGACCCCAACATAGTCGTGTCATTTTGGTCCTTTTTGAGCATGAACAACAAGTAACCATTGTTCTGAGAAATGGATTCTGGATAATTTTCTCCCAGCAAGTAAGATGGTCCCCAAGCCTTGTGGGAACATAGTCCATCCACAGACCTACTTCTTGACCCTTGACGCAGCTGCTAAAATAATCTTCCTAAGGCACATAGCTGACAATATTACTGTTCTGCTCAGTAATTTAAGGCCTTCCACCCCCAAATTTGGCTCCAATATAGATTATTAGCCTTGTTTCACATGTATTAGACTGCTAACTAGTCCCTAACCTAACCTTGAATGCTCCTGAATCTGCTTCGGCCACCCCTTATTCCTGGAAAACTCTCCCCACTTTTCTCTGTCTGTTGGAATTCTCTTCAAGGCTCATTTTAGGTGCTGCCTCCTCCCTGGAGGAAACTAAAAATCATCCATCCCTTCCTAAATATTTTGTCAGACTCTCTCCTTTATCCTTACCACTCTCATCTTTTATCATATTTTATACACATTTATAATAATAGCTAGCACTTATATTATTTCTTAACACTTTGGGCTTTTTATACACTATCTCATTTGGTCCTCACAATAACCCTATGAGGTAGGGACTGTTCCCACCCCATTTTATAGATGAAGAAACTAAGGCTGAGGGAGGTTAAGTGATTTGCCCAAGGTCATACTGCTAAGAAGTAAGGTCAGATTTGAATTCAGGTGTTTGGGACTCCAGGTCCAATACTCAGTCCACTGCATTACCCTTTTTAAATGTGACATTCCCTCAGCCCCCCCCCCCCCATTAATTGTAAGCCCTTTAAGGAATAAGATCATGTCATTTTTCATCTTTGAAAAATAATAGATCCTACCTTCCCAAGGTTGTTGTGAGGATTAAATGAGATAATAATAATAATAGTTAGCACTGTGATAATAGTAATAATAGGAAGAAGAAGGAGGAGGAGGACTTTTAATAATATAGAGTACTTTGAGGTTGGCAAAGCACTTTACAGATCTTATCTCATTTGATTCTCATAATAACCCGAGGAGTTAGGGGCTGTTAGCATCCTCATTTTACAGATGAGGAAACTAAGGTAAGCAGAGGTGAAGTGACTTGCCAGGGCCACACAGCTAGTAAGTGTCTCCAGTCTTCCTGACTGAGGTCCAGCCCTCTATCCACTGTACAAGCTAGCTGGCTCTAACACTCTCTAAGTGCTATATAAATGTGAGCTGCCAAGATTGTTATTTTCATATCCCCAGTGTTTGCTTGTAACACAGTGATTGCTTGTAACAGGTGCTTAAGAAATGTAACCGGAATCTGAGTATTCACATAGCATTTTATGATTTCTATAAGTATACTGCTTTCCTTGCAACAAGCCTGTGGCACATCTTATTATCTCCATTTTTCAGAAGAGGAAACTGAGGCTCTGGGATGTTAAATGACTTACCCATGACCATACGGTTAGTAAATTCCTGAAGGAGGATTTTAAACCAGATGTCTTGACTTCCACTCTGTACCACAATGCCTCTCAATATCAATGTTTAGTATTCTAGAGAGATGTTTTGTGGGGACAAGAAAGGCCCCTACCCTTCCTTGGGTTCCCATTTCACCCCCTCTGGTGTCATCTCCCACTTCTCTCCCTTCCCCCTGTACATTTATTGTATATAGTAATCAAATGCCATGTTTTCCAGGTACAGAAAGAGACTGCCTTCCAAATACTTCAGAAGTTGCAAAAAAGGTCTAAAATTCCCAGATGCTCTCAACAGCCAGCGGTGGATCTTCCTCAAAAGTGGTGTGGATGACTTCGGGAAAGGCGGTGCCCCTTCCTATAAGGACATCATGACTCATCGGCCAAAAGAGCCCCTTTTCCCCCTCATTTGCCACAAAAAAGATCTCACTGTCCAGAAGAAGCAGCCAAAGGCGATGGCGATCTCAGAGTTATTTTCAAGGCTCTCCCAGACCCAGAAAATTCATAAGGAGAACGCGGACAAGATCGAGTATTTCCTGGCCCAGCATCCTCTGGCTCTCTACCCCAACTTGGAAGAAAGTTTGCCTCTAGAGGTAGCGATCTCATTCTCGTTTTCTCCCTCCTGCTTTGAATGTGCCAGGGTATTACTGTGGCCATAGACGTGCTACTCGCTTGGATGGCTAGCCGATTTCCCTGAAGGGAACAGACTTCAGGGGAGGGAGGAAAGAGTGGTTAGACAAGCTGGATCACACAGTCTTCTCCTCTTTGCTGCTCTTAAGTGGCAGTGATCACACCCTTCACTCCTCTTTGCTGAGAGGGTTGGTGAGGGCTGTAAAGTTACAGTAGAAGACCAGTTGATTTTTCTTAAAAAAAAAAAAAAAAAAAAAAGGTTAGCTGTGTGATCTTGGGGAAGTCACTTAACCCCAATTGCCTCACCAAAAAACAAAAAAAAAAGTTCAATTTTTTTATTTGGTTGGGGGAGGGAAGGCATATTTTTTCTACAGCTTTGTTGAAAGCTGACATCTAGATAGCATTTTATAATTTTTTTCCCTCACAACAACCAGGTAACAGGTATTAAATAATAAATAACCAGGTTTCTTTTTTTTTTTTTTAAAGAGAATTTATTGATATATTTTGCTTTTTCATCATTTTGATTTCCCCTTGTATCTCTCTCCTCTTTCCTTCTGGAATGCCATCATTTATAACAAAGATTAAAAAAAGAAAGAAAAGAAAGAAAAAGAGGAAAAAAAGGGAGAAAAATCAGCAAAACCAATTAATACATCAGAAAAAATTTGATATCATATGTAATGTTCCACCCCTTGGATCCCCAAACTCTACAAGGGGCAAAGGAAGGCATCTGTTCTTTGGGACCCAGATAGTTCTTTATAATTTCATAACATTTTATTTCAAGCATTTTGTGGCTGTTCTTTCCATTTACATGTTATAGTTGTGTGTACATTATTTTCCTGGCTCTGTTTGTTTCACTTTGCTTCACTTCACATAGCTCTTTTCATGCCTCTCTGTATTCATTGAATTTGTCATTTCTTATAACAGTTGTATTCCATTGCATTCATACCATAATTTGTTTAGCTACTCCCTAATCGGTAAGCATTTAGATTGTTTCCGATTCTTTGCTGCCACAAAAAGTGATGTAAATATTATTAGGTATTTGACATCGAAGCCTTTCTTTTTATCAATAATGTCCATATTACATATGCCTAAAATGGGATCTCTGAGTCAAGAGCTCTAGAAATTTTAATCATTTCTTTTGCATAATTACAAGTTGCTTTCCAGAATAGTTGTATCTTCATAGATCCACTGACAACGTATTAGCGTGCCTGTCTTTCCCCAGCCCCTCCAACATTGACTCCTGTTTTCTTTTATCATCTTTGCCAACTTGCTGGATATGAAGTGCAACCTCAGGGTTATTTTGATTTCCATTTCTTTCATTATTAGTGATTTAGATCATTCTCTCGTATGGTTGTTGCAATTCTTTTGAGAACTTTTGTTCGTATTCTTTGGCTACTTATCTATTGGAGAATAGTTTTTGGTTATATGTATTGCTATTATTTGTCTTTTTATTTTGGATATCAAATGTTTATAAGAAATATTTGACTACAAGGATTTTTCCAAGTTGACATATTTTCTTGTTATTTTACATGTTTTAATTTTGTTTGCACAAAAGTTTTTTAATTTTATGTAATCAAAATAGTCTATTTTATCTTTTAAAATTATTTCTATAGTTAATATTTCATTCCATACCCATAGTTCTGAAATATATATGTCTCTCAACTTAATTTTTTTTTAATTAGGCAGTTGGGGTTAAGTGACTTGTCCAAGGTCACACAGCTAGTTAAGTGTCAAGTGTTTGGTCTGAGGCTGGATTTGAACTCAGGTCCTCCTGACTTCAGGGCCTGTGGTCTATTCACTGCACCACCTAGCTGCCCCTCAACTAATTTTTTTATGGTATGATCTTTAATATTCATTTAATGGGGAATATCGTGTAAGGTTTTGATCTGGGTCTAATTTCTAACAGATTGCTTTCCAGTTTGTCTATGACTTCTCATCAAATAGGGAGTTCTTTCCCAGATGACATATGTTTTCAGGTTTATATAATAATGAGTTGTTGAGTTCAGTTATTTCTGATTCTTCCTTATCTAGTTTATTCTATTCATCTACTTTTCTCTTTTTTTAACCAATATCAAGTGATTTTGATCATTGCTACTTTATAATATAGCTTGAAACCTAGAAGTTCCATTTTCTTCTTTATTTCTGCCTTTTTCACTATTTTCCTTGATATTCTATATCTTTTGTTCCTCCAAATGAATTGTATTATTTTTTCTAACTCTGAAAAGTATCTTTTTGGTAGTTTGACTAGTATAGCATTAACTGTAACTTGAGTAGTACTGTCATTTTTATTGAGTTGGTACAGTACAGCCATAAACACTGAATACTCCTCCAACTATTAAAACTGTTCTTTTTTTAAAAGAAATATTTTGTAATTGAATCTACACAAGTATTGAGTGAACAAGTCAGTTCCTCATTATTAATTTTGCTTAATCAATGATTTGCACAGATTCTCTTCTCCCCTCACCTCCTGCCTTGTTTGTCAATCTTTCCACTAGCTTTGGAGTTGTACTTCATTGATCACCTTTTCTTTATTCTATTTAACTATCCAATTCTTCTTCTCATGTTTCCCTTCTTTTGCTTTCTCATTTAAATGGTTAGTTAAAAATCTCCACCTCCTCTCCTCCCTTCCAACAAATTTTATTCACTTTTTTCTTTTCCTGCTCCTTTTTCTAAAGAGAATTTATTCATCTTGTTCCCTTGATTAATTTCCTTCTAATTCTTTCCACTCTGAACTATCATTCATTGATTTATGATCCATATACCTATTTATCCATTCTTCAGTTTCTTTCTGTTCTTCATGGAATTAAAACTTTTGAGATGATCAGTTTGAGCTCCTTTTAACCAATTTCCATGTTATTGTTTGCTATTCTAGAACTTGCTGACCCATCTCTTTTCTTGTTGTGCCTCACTCTTAGAAGTGTGAAGAAAGTAATAAAAAGAGAATTATGCTCCATGGTCGAAATCAGCCCATATCCCAAATCATGTGGTCCAGTTCCATCCTCTGCCCTCCTCTCTTTCTCATTTGCCATGTAATTTCCTCTTTGGACCCATGTCCTTTCATCCTTATGGTTGCCAGTTGGCTGCCAGAACTCAAATTTCTCTTTTCGTGGGGCAAGATGTTGTCCATGGGGGCACAACACTCTCCCAGAGAAAGTGGTTTCCTTCTGAACCAACTCCCCCCATGATTAGACCCATTTCAAAGTCTATTTCCCATTACATATATATATATATATATATATATACACCTCTTCTGTCCTGGGATTGGAGAATAAAGTTAAGACTTCTCTGTCACCCGAGCTTGATGTACAGTGGCAATTTATGAGCCCAACCCCTCTATTGACTGGTATGGAAGCTTTTACCTGCTCTATTTCTGATGTGGGCCAATTCGCTCCATCCTTAGGCAAGCTGGTTTGGGGCTCAGACTTAGTGCGGACACCTCAATTGGCATAGCCTGTTGCAGAACTCATGAACTCAAGAGATCCACCAGCTTCAACCTTCACGTTAACAGGAATTAAAGGAGTATGCCGTGACTGCCAGACCCCAAGATTGATCTTCATTGCATTCATCTCTCCTTTATCAGGATAAGATCTCCCTATTTCATTTCCCCTGTTTCAATCTCACTCTTATGAGACCTCTCCCATTCTCCTGTAGCATCTATTCCTGCTGAAAGACTATAGGAATTCATCTTTGGCATTATTCACCTATGGATTTGATTATTATACATCACACATTCCCTTTTATCCTCTACCTCTCCACTTTCCATTTATATACTCTTCCATTCTGCAATTTTTGTTGTTGTTGTTCAGTTGTTTCTATTGTATTCAACCCTTTGGGAATCCATTTGGGGTTTTCTTGGTAAAAATCCTGAGTGGTTTGCCATTCCTTTTTCCAGCTCATTTTACAGATGAGGAAACTGAGGCAAACAGGACTAAGTGACTTTCCCAGGGTCACACAGCTAGTAAATGATTGAGGCTGGATTTTAATTCAGGAAGAAGAGTTGTGGAACAACCAGGAGGCCAGTGTTATACACTATGCCACCCAGTTGCCCACACTACAATTTAATTCCACAAAATACATTGATTTACCTGTTGGAGAAGTTGTGAGGTGTAATGTCTATTAAAAATAGTATTTCTGACCTGTTCCTACTAGTTTCTTCTCCTATTTCTTTAAATCCTGCTTTCATAACCCTTGTGTACTTATTTTTTTTTTCTTAATGGTCTCTCTGTTGCTATTTTTTAGACCACAGGTTAGTCTTTCTCTTTTGATTTAAAAAAAATAGTAAAGATGGGCAACTTATTTCATTGCTTATTCTTACCTTGATAGCTCTATTTGTTTACCTTTCTTGTATTTCTGTGGTTTGGGGTATTTGTAAGTTGAATCATTTGTGTATTTCTGTTTTTGTTTTGGGGATTTTTTTTGCAGGAATGCTTCAAATACCCCTCTTTTATTGAATGTCTTTCCTTTTGTTAATGATTAGGTTCAGATTTGCAGGCTATGTCATTTAGGTTTGCATCTTGAGCTCCTTTAATTTTTCAAAAAATTATTCCACACCTTCTGTGGTTTTTAGTAGATGCAGAATAATTCAGTATTATTTGAATTTTCTTTCCTTTTTATTTGAAGTTCTTTTTCCTGGCTGTCTGCAGAAACAGTTGTCATTAGCATTATTAAATTTAACAACTCTGTATCTGGGAATTTGATGTATAAGGTTTGGGGTTTTACCCCCCAGAGGTGATCTGTGTATTCCTTTGAATGGTACTTTGTTTTCTGCATTCAGAAGTTCTGGGCAATTTTCCTGTATTATTTCCAGCATTATGGTTTTCGGGTTTGTCATATTCTTCGGGGAGACATAATCCTTAAATTGTCTCTGCATATTTTAGATAAATGGCTTTTGCTTGTGTAGAGATCATGTGTTCTTTTAGGCTTATTGCCTTTTGCTTCTCTTCTTCCCGAATATCTTCCATCT